CTAGTGAATCTACGCCCACGCACCACAATAAGTTTGAACTGATTGGCCTCCTTCGTCGGAAGCTTCGTCCCCATCGTGCCTCCACAGCAAGAAACCTAGGGAACTAGGATTGTCGAGAATAGTATTTACGAGACGAGCGAGGCCCGACGCGGAACCGCCGGCACTAAAAGACTGCAGGACAGGAGGAGGCTGATCAACAGCCTCTGAGCATCACGAGTGGAATAGAAGTCTAGGAGGGGTTTAGAGCCAGCACTAAGTAAGTACTGGAGGAAGGAAAGGAAAACTCAGCACGAATTCTGTCCTGTTTAGCCTTCCAAAGAAGTTACTATAGGGAAGCATCTGTCACGCTCGAATCTGTCACACATGCTCCACTTGCAATGTTGTACGACCTGTCATAAGATCGGTACAATTATTGTTTCATGTTTTTGTCCTACGTAAAAAAACAGCTTCAATGTTTATACCGAACCCCTGGTTCTGGTTTGTTGCACCACACGAGCTTGTCCTTCGCTGCAGCAGCAGTCAAACGCTTCTTCCGAATTAAAGCCGCGGTGCAAATTTTTAGAAACAGTAGCAAGACAAAACTCGCATGTGAGTAACTGGACTTCTATTGGTCGAAAACACTCGAGTTTCACAACAGGACAAACCTCTCGCCTGTGAACTGCCTGGGTCAACCTCTTCCAAGAGAGATTTGCTCCAAACCCTTGTTTGGAGATTCGGTGTTGCACATGTGGCCACCATTTTCTCGCGTGGTTCTACAATTCAGTGATAATTGCTCGAGTGGCCTTGCCAGGGAATTCCCGCGGTGTTTGTTTTAGAAGGCACATTACCCTTAAAGGGTATTTATCCTAGAAATATTTGTATTAGTTATTGCGAGACCAACTTCTACAAACGGATTTCTCTGGCCCACCAACGTGAGCAGGCTCGCACTGTTTGTCGTCGTGCACAAATTCGTTTTACCGAGGGCGTCAACCACGCACCACCCGAGGTGACTTCTCTTTCTGCAGCTGACTTTGCCTACTTGGGAGAGGACCACTGAGACATCTCAGAGGCCTATTTGTAGGCCTCACAATAGGATTAGCCTGCATGTCTTTCCATGCACTAGGTGTCTGGATTTGCCTTGTATACATTGTACATTTACTATAGTGTCAATAAAGAGGTCCGATACGGGGCTACCGCAGAGCCTTGAGCTAGTTTGGAGGTTCGGTGTGCAATAAGCGGTACACCGCATAACCATCACCAACCACGATTTGTACTATCTGAGCCTTTCTCAATCCCTCTGTTCTAGGGAATTTCCAGTATATGAGCGGCGCTGGCATTTGGAACGAGTGAAGGGGACGGAATGGGATGAGAAGGGCATTCTGCCATTCTCGGAAACACCGCATTCCTAGGGAACTCCGTGTGGGTCATGTCCTTTCAGCCGAGGCTACAAGAGGGCCATTCCGAAAAGAGGTCGGGTCAATAGGACGTTTTGATATCCATGAGCCTTTATTCTATTGTAGGGTCTTCTTTCTCGAAACATCAAGCGCTCTTGAGCGTCTGAAGTTCCCCGGAGAGGAATCTGTAGCTGCGTGTTCTGTGGCTTAGGTCCTTACTGCGTGTCCGACTTCCTTGCATCGTTCGACTCGCACGACGCTACGCCGGTTGGTGGCAGCTACCTGCTCGCTGACTGCCCGCCCTTACAAGCGCAAACGCTAAGTTCGCAAGGCAGAATCGAACAGCCCGCTCGTTGCTTTCTGTTTCACCTGGACGCTTTTGCTCTTTTCACGTAGAGAGACGCAGCTGCGAACAGCCTGCCTGGCTTGAGCCACGCAACGGCTCGTTCTGGCATTAGTATTCTGAGAGCTCTGAACATGGCGGTCGCAGGCCTGCGACCGTGGTGACCTAAGCTTGACGCTTTAGAATCTCTTTAGAAATGTCTGAATTCTCGCTAAACGATGCTATCCGATTCTATCTCCCTTCAACGCACGTTAGCTTCAATATCGCTGATTAAGTCCAGGACGGAAATCTGAAGACGAAGGAGACTAGGTGACTCGCTTTGGTCCGCTGCACATACGTTTGCTTAGCGCGCAGATTGACGCATCTCTCGGGTGTTACTTCATTCTCCGAAGAGATTGAGCGAGCCCGCGGGCTTTTCTCTCGAAGCCCTCCTCGTAGTAACCTTCGCAACAGTCTGTAGCACCAGACGCTGCATCGCGAGGCGTGACCTCCAATCTAACGTGCGTTTAGGCTAGATAGTGGTGCGGCTGCGAAGCACAAGCGGTATTGCCTGGAGCCAGTTCGCAAAATAGGAGGAGGAAGAATAATAATAATTTACAGAAAAAAAGGGAAATTCGGGATGGGTAACAAGGTTACAAAGCGGCGGTGTACGGTGGAGGAGCAGTACACGCATCCGCAGGGGCTGTACCCGCATCGCGACATCGACCTGAAGAAGCTCCGACGGCTTATTCTCGACGCCAAGCTCGCTCCGTGCCACGTGGGCGGCGACGACCCCAGCAGCGACCTTGATGAATGCCCCATCTGCTTCCTCGTGAGTGCTGGTGTTTCCTGGGTCTACTTAAAGTCATTTCTGGGGTTGAAAGTTAAGCTCGCTACGTGCCACGTGGGCGGGGATGAGCCCAGCAGCGACCTAGACGAATGCCCCATCTGCTTCCTCGTGAGTGTTGCTGATTGAGAGTGCTGATAGTGCGTGTGGCGATTGCTTGTCGCATGTGCGTTGCTGGTACGGATTGTGGATTTCATTCTCAAGAACTCCCTTGCTTCGGAAGCCCTGTGTCTCATGGCTCGAAATTCCTTATGTATTCTTGATGCCTGTCTGTGCCTCGCTGCTGCTGACCTTATCCCTTCTTTCGACAGAACTATCCATGTCTAAATCGATCGAGATGCTGCAAGAAGGGCATGTGCACAGGTAACGCCTCTGTCCCTGCTCCACGTCGCATCGCCATCATCAGCCATAGCTGAGCCTGACGCACCCTACTTTGCAACAAGGAATGCCAAGATATTTCATCTTTGACCGGTCCGTGGTGTATTGGCATTGTATTGGCTTTAGCTCTTGCTGTTTCATAAAAGCGTCTGCATGCAAACAACTGTTGCCGTTTGCTCACACTCTCCGTTTTTCCTTTTCTTCTTTGCCATAACCCCCTTCTCAGAGTGCTTTTTGCAGATGAAGTCTCCAACGGCCTCCAGCATGCTGCAGTGAGCCCCACCCCACCCAGCCCCTCACTTGTGCTCTCTCACTTCCTTCCATGTCGCATCTGTTTTCCACTTTCTCTTCACCCTCCTCTCTCTTCCTCCTCCTCCTCCTCCTCCTCCTCCTCCTCCTCCTCCTCCTCCTCCACCTCCTCCACCTCCTCCTCCTTCTCCTCCTCTTGTTTTTAGCTCGTGAATACCTTGTCCTTCCCCCCCCCTGTCACCACCTTTTCTCACTGCTGAATGCCTTTTGTCACCACCTTATCACCTCCTATTACCGCTCATCAGCTTCTCTCACCGCTTATCACCTCAGGTGTCCGTTTTGCAAGGCGCCAACCTTCTCTGTGGAATTCCGGGGGAAGCGCACAGCAGAGGAGAGAAACGTGGAGCTAGAGGTATGCTACGGTTGAGTTGGGTCAGAATGTTTTCCTTTCAGTCGTGCAGGTGCCTGCTCTGTTCTAGAGTCAACTCTGAAAGGGGTATGCTGCGGTTGAGTGGAGTCAGGATGTTTGTTGCTAGGTTGGGCAGGTGTCTGCTCGAATTGAGCTCACATTTCGTTTCTCGCAGGCTGTTGGTTCATCTTTTGTTCGTCTCAACTTCGCACCACACCACAATTCTTTTTCTTCCTGTTCCCTTCGTGGTTCGCCGTTTTGAATCCTAACTAGGAGGAACAACAGGTGATAGAGGCAAAGATAAGGATGTGGCAGGAGGAGGAGGAGGCGTACACAGCAAGGGTGGCCGAACACGTCTTGAGACGTCTCAAACTCCTTTCTGTTTCCTTCGTCTTTCGCCTGTCTGAGTCCTGAGCAGGAGGAGCAGAAGGTGATAGAGGCAAAGATAAGGATGCGGCAGGAGGAGGAGGAGGCGTATGCAGCACGGGTGGCGGAACGCGAGGCGGCAGCAGAAGCTGCCTCTTCCCTCAATTCCTCCTCCACCTCCTCCGCGCTCCCACCACAATGTTCTTTTTGTTTCTTTCGGGTTTCTCCTTTTTTAACCTTGAGCAGGAAGAGCAGAAGGTGATAGAGGCAAAGATAAGGATGCGGCAGGAGGAGGAGGAGGAGTACGCAGCACGGGTGGCGGAACGCCAGGCAGCAGCAGAAGCTGCCTCTTCCCTCAACTCCTCCTCCACCTCCTCCGCTCTCGCTCCCACCACCCCCCCTCCCTCTCGCACCCCTCCAACGCCCCCCACATCTGCCGCTGCTGCTGCCGCGAGTGCTTCATCCGTAGCAGGAGAAACAGCAGGGGAGACAGAAGAAGCAGCAGAAGCAGCAGAAGCAGCGGCGGCGGCGGCAGCAGCAGCAGCAGCCAGTGGCAGCAGCGACACAGGCATGGGGGTCCTGCGTTCCTCCCTGCAGCTCTCCTCCTCCGCCTCGTCCTCCTCTCGAGAGAGGGGAGGCATAGGCCGCTCCTCCTCCCGCCACCTCACCAGTAGTAACAGCAGCCGCGGTGGTAACCAGGCGGCTGGTCACAACTGGTGGGAGGGTACGTTCGCAGGGGGAGGAGCAGGGGCGGGAGCAGGAGTGCGGCCGAATCAGCTGCATTTGCCGGGTGGGGGTGGGTACTCTCCAGGCGTGAATGATGGTGGGGGAAGGTACGGGCCGGGTGGGGGTGGGACGGGTGGAGTAGGGAGTGGGGATGGGGTTGGGGTTGGGGTTGGGGGTGCGGTTAGGGGAATGATGCCTACATATGGTGTGGGGGGGAGTGCTGGTGGCGGGGGAGGGGGAACAGGAGGAGGGGGAGCAGGGGGGAGAGGGGGAGTGGGAGGGGGAGTGGGAGGGGGAGAAGTGGCCGGGAACTTTGGTTTCTGGCGCGAAATGGGGGCCACAGATGATTATGATGGTGGTGGTGATGATGCCATGCTCTATCGCAACATGGCCCACCATCGCCTGCAGATTGAACGAGCCCGTCGCACCGCTGCTGCTGCTGCTGCCGCCGCTGCTGCTGGCGCTGCTGGCACTGGTGCTGGTGCTGGTGGTGCTGGCGCTACAGCCGGTGCTACAGCCGCCTCCGTCTCCTCCCCCACTGGCAGCTCCAGCAGCAGCACCCGAGCCTGGGACCCAGGCTCGGTGGAAGGGGCAGGCTTGGCAGTGGGTGCCAGGGCTGGTTTGGGAAGATATGGTTCGGGATCAGGGAGAGGCGTGGGAGCAGTGGGAGGAGGGCCGGGTGCAACTGGTGCTGCGATGGGTGCTGCGAGCAGCCATGGCTCCACGGTCTCTCCCAGGCTCTCTCCTTCAAGGTGGGTTTCTTCTTCTTACCTGCCCTATTGAGTTGTCTCAAAAACTGGTGTTATGGCAGGTGCTGCCAGCAGCCATGGCTCCACTGTCTCTCCCAGGCTCTCTCCTTCGAGGTAAGCGTCTGCTTACTAGCCATGTGCGTCTTCTTGCCGTCCTTTCGTTGCTGCTCTTTCTCGGCTTCCCCGATTCATCCTCTTTGTGTACCCCTCTTCCATGCTTCAATCCTTTCCTCTCCATGCCTCTCACCGCTCATTCATTTGTCTTCATGCCTTCCTCTTCCCCCCTCCCCCCACCTCCATGCGTCCCCCGGATCACCCATCTCTGTGTATCTCTCCCCTTCAATGGTCCCAATCGCCATCCCCCCTCCACGTGTCTCGTGTGCCATCAGGGCGGATGAGTTGGGAGTGGATCTGGAGGAGCTGTTGCTCATGGAGGCCATCTGGCTCTCGCTGCAGGTACTGCTTGCTTGCTCTGCCCCTCTCTGTCCAGCTGTTACCTGCTGTGATTCCCTTCGTGCTCTGCTTCTCTTGCCTTTCTTGGGTGTGGAATTGGAGGAGCTGTTGCTCATAAAGGCCATCTGGCTCTCCCTCCCCGCTTTTCCTCCCTCCTCCTCGACCCAGCACCAGGATCAAGAAGAGGCAGCTCGCCGCGCATCAGCTTTAACACCAGCGATTTTTTAGTCGACTAATGAAAACGCCCGTTTATTCGACTAACAACTATCTTCCTTTCCTTTCCCCTGCTTCGCCCCCCTCCTCAACCCGGCACCAGGATCAAGAAGAGGCAGCTCGCCGCGCATCAGCTGCAGCTTCAGCTTCCACACCAGCGATTTCTGAGGTTACCAAAATAACGCCTGTTTAGGCGACTCAAGAATCTCTTCCTTTTCGCTTCCCTGCTTCTCCCCTTCTCCTCGACCCGGCACCAGGATCAAGAGGAGGCAGCTCGCCGCGCATCAGCTTCAACACCAGCAGCAGCTGCAGCAGCAGCATCAGCAGCAGCATCAGCATCGGCATCAGCGGTTGCCACTGACACAACTGCAGTAGCTGCACCAAGGCTGGTAGAGGCCGTCCCTGAAGCAGTAGCAGCCAGTTCTGGGGCACCAGAGGCATTGCCAGCAGCAGCACAAGGTGCAGGTGCTGCAGTAGCAGCAGCAAGTGCAGCGTCAGATTCTGCTGCAGCAAGCTCTGATGTGGGTGGGGGGAGTCCGAGTGATATGCAGGGCCCTTCACAGGCATCTGTTGCAGCAGAGGCTCAGCAGCAGGAGGGGGTGCAGCGACAACAGGACAATTTGCATGATGAGGAGGTGATTGAGAGTTTTCTCATGCGAGGGATTGGTGGTGGTGAAGGTGGTTTGGGGGACGGCAGTGAGAGCACTACTCGTGCTGCTGTGGCTGTAGCTGCTGCTAGTGGTGGTGCAGAGGGGGGGCAAGGAGAAGCGTCTTTGGTTGTTCCCGATGATTTTGAAGGGCAAATGCGCCTTGCGTTGGCACTTTCCCTTCTGGAAGCGGAACAGGCAGCTGCTGCGAGCAGGGGAGAGTAGCAGTGCTGCAGTGGCCTGAAGCTGCTAGATTTGCAGCATCTGCTGCAATTGCGAATTGACAAGGAGGTTCATGAGTCCTATGATCATTAGCGAAGTTCCTATTTCTGCACCCTACGTAAGGGTTCTGTATGAGCTATTTTAGCTGCAATCTGCATCCATTTGTGGATTTCCAGGTTTATCTGGTTGTTAGGGCCATGTGTACCCTCAGCTCAAGGTGGCAAACATGTTAATATGTAATATCGCGTATGCGAGGAGGTAATTCTGGTTTGGATAAGGGGCCCCTGAACAGAACTGATTTACCACTCGAATCTTCCAACACACGAAACCCGTCAGGGTCTCCTGGGGTCATCGGGGTCATCTGGGATGGGGTGGATGGATGTCTCTTGGGATCATCTCTCTCGTGTCAGGTGTTTCCAGCCTCAAACCTGACTATCTGCGCTCCATCCCAAATCCGCGATTGTCGTCGTCCCGCTAGGAGCAACTACGCATTGCTCGTCTGTCCCTTGCCCTTGCCGACCAACCAACCCCTGCGGATTTTCGCATATCATGGCGGTTTGTAGTAGTTAGCTCCAGCGAACATGACATAATTGTCGCAGCGACTCTCCTCCCGTCCCGTCACGTCCAGTCGGCCATTGCCGGCCATACGTGCACTGGAAATGAAACTGTCAACTGCGGTTGAAACTGCGAACTGCTGTTCCTTGTAGTCACGTCACGATGCTTGTTACTAGGGTGAGCTGTTCACCGCATTGTTTCCGTTGCAGGCTCTAGTAGGATGAGATAGGTCAGGGTGCAACAGTTGCTCGGCAATGGCAGATTTCTTAGTTGACGATGCGTTCCTGTATCTTATATCGAAACAGTCCACCGCGTATAGACACTGCTCGTCATCTGTACTCGTCGTTGCGTCTCCGTGCCAGACGCAGTCCTCCGCTTTCCGCGAAGATTGGGGAAAACCTAGGTTGGATTCAGTCTATATTTCTATTTCCGAATGCAACGATTGGTCGCAAAGTCTGACGCAAAAATAGGCTGCGAAGGCTAGGGATTAACTAGGCTAGGGAACAACAGGATTAATAAGAATTAGTAGAACTGCCTAGTCTCAGTTGTTTCGAAGCGCCAAACCGTCACTCGTTTCGTTAGAGTCACCCACTGAGTCCTTAGGTCAATGGGAAAGCCGCTGGGTTTCGGCGCTAGCCAGCACAGCCATGCCGTCGTTCGGTTGTTGTCTGTGCGATGGCTAGCACGGTTACCACGAGATTTGTCGCGAATGGCGCTCCTAGTCTTCGTCCTTTTCGCATATGCGAGCACCAGTACAAGTAAGATTCTGTTCCTCTGATCAGTTTCTCCGAATCTATTCCTCGTGCAAGCTCCTCTGAGTGCACGTTCTGAACCTCTGTCTCCCCTTCTTGCGAAAAAAAACACCTTTGCCGTTTTGTCTGAAAATCCATCATTGACGCTCTGACTCGGTCTGTCACAGTCTCCTTACTCTAGGTTCCTCCATTTGAGAGAGAGAGAGAGAAAAAAAAAAAACAAACAAACAAAAATCATAACAAGTCCTTTCTTCCAGTATAATTGGAATGCACCACCCCAGTTGTCAGCTTTCATGGTTTCACTATTCATCCCTCACATGTGATTTGCCTTCTTGGTCGTCCATTTCTCCCTTCCTATCCAACATGTGGGCAGTTGATTGGTCGATCCCAGCAGCAGCACCATCATCTGCCAAAACCCATTCCAAAGGTCCCCGCATACTTAGCGTTCCAACAGCCAACAGCAGCAGCTACACCAGCAGCAGCAACGAATACAGCTACACGGAGGCCAACAGCAGCAGCATTAGTGATCATCAAATCCCCGATACAAGCAGATGTAACGCCTCTAGGTTAAGTATAAGCGGTCTTTTAAGCAAGCAAGTCTCGCACCTGCTGTGGGGGTTTCTGCAGAGTTCTCAGAAGCAGCAGCTGTCGCATTCAGCCACAGGGTTGCAAGGATCACGAATAGAGGGCATGGAGAAGGATAAAAGGGATAGGAGGGTGGAGGATAAGGAGAGGGGTAAGGGAGATGAAGGGGAGGAGGAGAAGGAGGAGAGAGAAGGGCGACAAGGAACGAAGCAGGTATGGCTTGGAAGGGACGGGAAAGCAGACGCGGATTTTCCGTTTTCAAACCTGGAGTTGCTGCTACCGTCAGCAAGAGCAGCGGGTATTTACTTTGTGCGCCGACCAGAAGGGGTGGAAGAGGGGGAGGACGAGGGGGGAGAAGCGGGGGAGGACGAGGGGGGAGAAGCGGGGGAGGACGAGGGGGCAGAAGAGGGGGAGGACGAGGGGGGAGAAGCGGGGGAGGACGCGGAGCAGCACGAAGAGGAGGAGAGGGAAAGGAAAGAGGAGAGGGAGGATGATGAGGCGTGGTCACAGCTGCGGCATGAGGCAGTTGTACCAAGCGGCCACACCTTACAGCAGCACACCAGCCACACGGGAAGCCGGCCTTTTTTCAGTCGACTAAAAAATCGTGAAGCAGGTGCTCCAAGTGACCACACCTTGCAACAGTATAAACGCCACAAGGGAAGCCGGCCGCTCACCTCACCTCAGCTACACCGTCCTAAATCCCATTCTTCCCGGCGTCGGCTCATCATGAGTTGGCAGAAGGATGACGTGTCTTCTGAGGGTGACGTGGCACCCACCTCGCAGCAGCGCCGCCAGCTCATCATGAGCTGGCTGAAGGACGCGTGGGTGCGCAGTGTGGCGTTCCGCCTGAACGGCGACCCCCGGGAGGACCGTTTCTTGGTGGGCAGCCAGCAAGACCAGGGCTACCAGTGGCAGTGGACGGACGGGGTGGTGGGGCCCAGCTGGAGAAGTCCGTTCGTGCGGAACCTCTCTTTGGATATGGATGTGAGTATATGCATGCTTGACATTTTGATCCCTTGGGTAAAACCGCCGGGAGGACCGCTTCCTGGTGGGCAGCCAGCAAGACCAGGGCTACCAGTGGCAGTGGACGGACGGGGTGGTGGGGAGCAGCTGGAGAAGCCCCTTCGTGCACAATCTGTTGCTTGACATGGATGTGAGTGCATGATACGACATGACACCTGGTTTCTTGACCTTGGTCATCTGAGGTATGACCCCCGGGAGGACCGCTTCCTGGTGGGCAGTCAGCAAGACCAGGGCTACTAGTGGCAGTGGACGGACGGGGTGGTGGGGAGCAGCTGGAGAAGCCCCTTCGTGCACAATCTGTTGCTTGACATGGATGTGAGTGCATGATACGACATGACACCTGGTTTCTTGACCTTGGTCATCTGAGGTATGACCCCCGGGAGGACCGCTTCCTGGTGGGCAGTCAGCAAGACCAGGGCTACTAGTGGCAGTGGACGGACGGGGTGGTGGGGAGCAGCTGGAGAAGCCCCTTCGTGCTCAATCTGTTGCTTGACATGGATGTGAGTGCATGATACGACATGACACCTGGTTTCTTGACCTTGGTCATCTGAGGTATGACCCCCGGGAGGACCGCTTCCTGGTGGGCAGTCAGCAAGACCAGGGCTACTAGTGGCAGTGGACGGACGGGGTGGTGGGGAGCAGCTGGAGAAGCCCCTTCGTGCACAATCTGTTGCTTGACATGGATGTGAGTGCATGATACGACATGACACCTGGTTTCTTGACCTTGGTCATCTGAGGTATGACCCCCGGGAGGACCGCTTCCTGGTGGGCAGTCAGCAAGACCAGGGCTACTAGTGGCAGTGGACGGACGGGGTGGTGGGGAGCAGCTGGAGAAGCCCCTTCGTGCACAATCTGTTGCTTGACATGGATGTGAGTGCATGATACGACATGACACCTGGTTTCTTGACCTTGGTCATCTGAGGTATGACCCCCGGGAGGACCGCTTCCTGGTGGGCAGTCAGCAAGACCAGGGCTACTAGTGGCAGTGGACGGACAGGGTGGTGGGGAGCAGCTGGAGAAGCCCCTTCGTGCACAATCTGTTGCTTGACATGGATGTGAGTGCATGATACGACATGACACCTGGTTTCTTGACCTTGGTCATCTGAGGTATGACCCCCGGGAGGACCGCTTCCTGGTGGGCAGTCAGCAAGACCAGGGCTACTAGTGGCAGTGGACGGACGGGGTGGTGGGGAGCAGCTGGAGAAGCCCCTTCGTGCACAATCTGTTGCTTGACATGGATGTGAGTGCATGATACGACATGACACCTGGTTTCTTGACCTTGGTCATCTGAGGTATGACCCCCGGGAGGACCGCTTCCTGGTGGGCAGTCAGCAAGACCAGGGCTACTAGTGGCAGTGGACGGACGGGGTGGTGGGGAGCAGCTGGAGAAGCCCCTTCGTGCACAATCTGTTGCTTGACATGGATGTGAGTGCATGATACGACATGACACCTGGTTTCTTGACCTTGGTCATCTGAGGTATGACCCCCGGGAGGACCGCTTCCTGGTGGGCAGTCAGCAAGACCAGGGCTACTAGTGGCAGTGGACGGACGGGGTGGTGGGGAGCAGCTGGAGAAGCCCCTTCGTGCACAATCTGTTGCTTGACATGGATGTGAGTGCATGATACGACATGACACCTGGTTTCTTGACCTTGGTCATCTGAGGTATGACCCCCGGGAGGACCGCTTCCTGGTGGGCAGTCAGCAAGACCAGGGCTACTAGTGGCAGTGGACGGACGGGGTGGTGGGGAGCAGCTGGAGAAGCCCCTTCGTGCACAATCTGTTGCTTGACATGGATGTGAGTGCATGATACGACATGACACCTGGTTTCTTGACCTTGGTCATCTGAGGTATGACCCCCGGGAGGACCGCTTCCTGGTGGGCAGTCAGCAAGACCAGGGCTACTAGTGGCAGTGGACGGACGGGGTGGTGGGGAGCAGCTGGAGAAGCCCCTTCGTGCACAATCTGTTGCTTGACATGGATGTGAGTGCATGTTACGACATGACACCTGGTTTCTTGACCTTGGTCATCTGAGGTATGACCCCCGGGAGGACCGCTTCCTGGTGGGCAGTCAGCAAGACCAGGGCTACT